TATGGGTATTGTATATATTTGAGAGGGGTCTCATGTGTTTACTAGTTAATTAATGGGTGATGTATATTTCAGAGGCATCTCATGTGTTTAGTGTGAATGACCAGTTCACATCCAAGCTGTTTAGGGTGAAGATCCAGACAGGTAAGCTAAACTACTTCACCAGGAAGAGTTTTCTAGAGAATAATCAGATTGTCACAGTACAAAGATAAAATCCTGATTTAGACATGCTTTAAATCAAGATCTCTTTGATAGTTTTGAAAAGAATAATGGGTGAAAGTTTTTTCTCTCCAACTGGCACATGACCAATGCCCTCAATAACCCTTTAAAGTGAACTGTGCCTTTTTAATCTTGTCACATGTTTATTGCCCAAATTGATATCAAGTTGATATCTTGTGTTGCATTCCAGTTGCTTGAAATAGGCAAATGTTCAGTGCCTACATTGATATCAAATTGATAACCTATGTTGCATTCCAGTTGCTGCCAAAGGGGAATCAGAACCAGAAAGGAAAGAAACGAGGAGCAAAGTTGATGAAGACAGAAAACATGAATATCCTTTGTTCAATTCTTATATTGTAGAAAACTTATGGTAGTTTATATTCTGTTTAAACTGGGAATTTTCTAAGTTTTGTCAGTTGACCTGATTAAGTAAACCCACAAATCTGATCTGTAAATCATCTTCAAAGTTACACCCCTTCAATTCACTTCACTAGCAGAAATTTTGGAGACAATATTTTAAAGATTCTGTTTGTCCTCACTTTGTTTGTCCACACCTTGATAAGTTGTCCTGAGAGACCATTCCCAGACCCTATCATACTTACTGTGAATCGATCTATCTCTAAGAGGATTCTCACTAAACTGCAATCAAATTAAGTGGCTTAGATGTCTGTCACGCTTACTGAAGCTTTTAGGGGGTAATTACCTATCATTAAGCAGTTCCAGTAGGCTTGTCAGACATCTAAGCCCCTAAAGCTGAAAGCAATTTAGTGAGAAACCTCTGGGAGATGGATCAATACTGTTAGATTGATCTAGGTATGGGAACCCAGTCTTAAACAGTAAATGAAGCTTTACATAAAGTATACATGAGATTTAATTTGTAAACAATTTCTTTGTGAATATGAATGGTTGCTAAGTATCTAGTTGCTAGAACAGAGAATCATATTTCAGACTACTTTGTAGAACTTATTACCTGCCTTAACTGTTTGTCACAATAGAAGCTGCTATAGTCCGGGTGATGAAGGCCAGGAAGCGGATGCAACACAACGTCCTGGTATCTGAGGTAAGATATATAAACATGTCAGCAATACTGTCAAATGTACAGGAATCAGATGCAATGCACCAGCCTGGTATCTGTAAGATATATAAACAAGGCAGCAAAGCTATCAAAGGTTACAGAAGTGGGTGCAACACAATTTCCTGGTATCATAGGTAAGATAAAAAAAGGATGGGGGGATAAGTATTTTGAATTATTTCTGAAGACTGAAATGATGCAGTTGACGTCCAGCCATGATCTTTAACCACATGTCTCTGTTGTTAAATTCTAAGAAGGCTTTGTAAAGCCAATATGTGGTTTTCTTATAGTTTATGGTAAATGAATGCAATTTTCAAGTCAAAATATATTTGCAGTGTATTATTTTTCCTCCTGCTAGGGAGGACTTAAGACTAAGAGATTGTCTGTCTGTAAAAGAATTGAGGAGGCAGATACTGACAGAACTTGAAAGTAAAAAGAAAAGTGCTTTTGTAGACCTGTCAAAGCAGTGATGCAATTTTTGATATGCTCTTTTGCAGGTAACAGAACAGTTAAAAGTACGGTTTCTTCCTAGTCCAGTGGTGATCAAGAAGAGGATAGAAGGTCTTATAGAGAGAGAATATCTAGCCAGGACACCAGAAGATAGGTAAGGGTAAATAACAGGGACAGAGTATAGCAATTTGCAAGGGGTTGAACATCCAAATTGGAAGTATTTTGAAAAGTTTAGTATACCTTGACATTTTGTCATTTTGTTTTTAATACATAAGTAGGCCCAAATAAAAAAATGTGTACAGAATACGTACAAATGTTGGTTTTATTTGCCCCAAATGTTCCCATAAAAAGAGACCCTGATGCTAAGCTCTGTAATGACCCATTTTTATTGTGCATTGGAACGCTCACTAAAAGCACACTAAAATAGGAACATTCCATAATGGGGTACCCAGGCCTTACTTTTTGGGCACATTTGGGATGAAGCAAGCCAACATAATTATATAGTTACTCAGAGCACATTATTTGGAATGCACTGTGTGTAAAATGGACATTATGGCAGGATTGCCTGTCGTCTCATCGCTTGGGCTTGATGTATTGCATTTTAACTTTGATTTTCAAATTTCTGAATTAAATTGTATGCATTGATATCAAAAGATTCATTAAAGTCATGGAGCATTGAAGGAATAAGTTAAAAAGGGTTTACAAAGAATTTGTGGTGAAGTTTTGTGAAATCACTTTGCTCTAGGGACATTTTTACATTTACAACACTAATTTAGGTACATGCTATTCAAAATTTTCATTTTTTTTTTCAGAAAAATTTACAATTACGTGGCATAGGGAAATGCCGTAGCTTACAGACTATGGAATTGTAATGTGACAGTGTCACAGACAGACTTCAGTGCTCATAAGACACTTCTCATCAAAGAAGAGGAGCAACAGCAAGAGATAATTTTGTTTTATTCTGGGTCATCCCCCAGCATTTGGACATAAAGTCTGGAACTGGTGGATACATTCTGTTTGTTGGTGTTGACATCATTACATCACTGACTGACAAGTGGATTAATGCGGTTTCCATTTAGAAATTCGTCTTTGGTGGAACTGAAGTTATATGGACTGTTATTGTGAAGGGGTCATTGTTTCCAGTGTTAGAGAGAGTTCTTAATTTATTTCCTTACAAACCTCTCTTGTTGCCAGAGAGCAGCTAGCAAATGGCAGCTCTGCCTCCAGGTGAATTTGTTTGGGGAGTTGCAGACATGGTGATGATGTTCCACATGTGCAGCCCTTTAAAATGATATGGCGAATTGTGCCGCCCAACCTGTCAATCATATACAGAGTAATTTAGCTGCCAGTTGCCATCTTTGCTGTCGTTATTTCTTTTTGCATGCTGCAAATCAGACCAGGCCGGCCTAGGAAATCTTACTTAAAGTGTCTACACTTAAAGTCTGTTAAATCTTGCCTCCTCACTTGTTAATGAATGCAAGGCCAATGGTTGTTTGACCAAAGGAAGTGTTACATATGCTTATCTTCATGAACACTGGGTTGAGATTGGCTTCCTATGCCTGAACTTCAGCAATTGCTTGTGCTTTGCTCCGTAAGGATGTTGACAGTGCCATTTGATTCTGAAGCAGTGAAGACAATTTTCTCATGGCAGGGTGCCATGTGGGATTTGAAAAAAAGAGCCCCATATAAATATATATAAATGTGTATATTTTTTGGGGGAAATTTACATGTGCATTTTATTTCATGTGTAGATCATTAAAATATGTTGAACCTGATAATGTGTTGTGTTGAAATCCTTGTACTGACATACTTTTAGTAACATATATGTAAGTTAAGAAATTGATGAAGAATACACAAATTAGTAAAGTGCCCTGATGTTGTATTTGAAGATGATGATGTGACCACATTGCTGCTAAGACTGAATTTGGGGTCATTAGCACCATTGTCCCTGAGCTATGTCCGCTGCTCACTACCAGTGCCCATTTCTGTAGAAGTGCAGCAGCTGCACAAATATGACAAAGATTTAGAAGAAGTAATGACAGATTTACATCTTTCATAACAAATAAATGTGTGTTCCTAGATACACAGCATCTAAGACATTTCAGTACCCCGGACATGTGTTATCACCTTGCCTTGGTCAACTACTGAAGGTCAAAATGTGCAGACACAAGCCCCAAAATTATAAACAAAACATTGATGTATTATTAACAAAGTTATTACTACCACTAAAAACAAACCATTTCCTACATAAATGCAATTAATTATCTTTATTGCAGTTTTATGTAGCCAAATGTTCACAAGCACAACGAAGATCTTTTTTTGCTCCAATGTAAATAAGATAAGTCCATATGACTGAAAATTGTCATTTATTAATGACAAAAACTAATAAGATATAAAGTTACAAAACTGGGGAGATAATATAACATCCCCCAAACTATATAACTACCATAATATAAATATAAGAAAGTAGGTTAATGAGTGTAACCAAGATTGATTAAGAAAAATATGAGGAATCACAACAGCTATAGGAGCAAAAAGATGGCACAAATGAAAATAAAAGGCCATAAGATGTGAGAGAAGCTGGCTACATAAATCATATTTTTAGCTTTCTTCCAACTTAAAATCATGATCAAGTAAAAGAGCCAGAGAAATTTGTATTCCATTTAATCTGGAACTGCCCTACACACAGAGCCAAAAAGTGTACTAAATAAAGATTAATCTTATGGTGGTCTGAACTGACAAATATACAAGCTTTTACCTAATCTTTAACAAATATATGGTCAAGAAGATTAATAAGAGAAGATAAAACATAGCAACATTTTATCCAAAATAGACAGATCAATTTCAGTGTTGTGGTTCTGATTATATCAATAAAAATGCATTGGTAGAGTTTTAAAAAAATATAATCTATAACAATGAAAAGGATCTCTTAACACCACCACTTTTCATGTTTAAAATATAAAAAAAGAAAATAAAATTATTTTAATTTATAAACATTGGTTGAAGGCAGGTATCTGCTGGTATGTCAATGGTTTTCTTAACTAGTGTCCGATCATTCGTTATTTTGACAAATAGTGTCTTTTTAAAAGACCACTGTTCCTGAAACAAATTTCATTGTATTTTAAGGTTTGCTGTGATTAGTGAAAAGAACTAGAGCTTTAAATATGGGACACAATTGTTTACAATTGTCAAACTATTCATTCCATGCAATTTTGATATTAAAGCACAATAAAGAAACAAAGGACATATATAATATTCTGAGCAAACAAAGTGAAATGAGAGAAATAAATAGAAGAAAACAATAAGCAACGGAAATATAGATGAAAAATAGAGGAAAATATACATACAAAGGAAAATTTGCACAAAAGTCCACCATACAATGCCCCTACAATACCTATGCAATTCCCGTGCGGGGATTGCGTAATGCCATCTCGGTATGGTTACAGTCTACGGGCTTTCAATTTCAAAAACTTGTCAAAAGTCACAGCTTGAAAAAAATCGTAGACACTGCGGCGGCCTTAAATCCGTACGATCCCATCTACCTCCACTCAGACGCTGAACGAAAGGGAATTACCGACAGTATGCAACATTGGTCAAAAAGGTTGTCCTACCCGAAATTCCATGTGCTTTTATTTTCAGATGATCACAGCTGTATGCTGTGTCTGTACATACTGTATAGCCATCACCTGCGTCTGTCGTCGCCATCGTCGTCGCCGTGCACTTTCACCGATAACACGATAAGTGAAAAACTGTTTTACCTTTTGGCTTGAAACTTACAGAACTGATGAATATTCATAATACGCAGGTCAAGTTCAAAAATCAGCATGATCGGGCCATTTTTATCAAAGTTATGCTGTTTTTTTCACTTTTTTCAGCTTATATGCAACACTGATAACACATTTCAAGGAAAATCGATTGGTCAATTGTCTTGAAATTCAAAGGAGTTATCAGTATTACTGAAATACAGATTAAGTTCGAAAATAAGCTTGATCGGTTAAGTTTTGGTGAAGTTATACCTTTTTTGTAAATAAGTGTTTTTTCCTCGGATTTAATTCTTAGGCATGTTAACAGTCTCATTTTTTAACTTATTAGATATGTAAAGGTGTTCTTTTGACATTTTCTGCATCTTAACAATATTGTTAGTTGATCATATAAATGATGGTAAACCTGTTATTGTGTAATGAAGTGTCAAAAATGGAAATAAACTCATACCTTTATAGTTTGTCAGATTCAATCATTCACTATGTTCAGAATCTCAGAATGGAGCAAATTGGACATTTAAAATTGTTCTATTGATATTTTTTCCTATGTCAACAATTTACTTAGTTGATCGTTTAAAAATAACAGGAAATCGATTATTTTGTGTTATGTAAAAAAGGTGTTGAAAATGGAAATAAATCCATTTCAATACAGTTCTCTTGTTTACATTTTGGCATTTCAAGGTTTGACTCTGAACTTCCATGGACTTGAAAACTTTAGCTTGTCACATTTTCTGAATATCTGTGATACATTTATTTTATTATTAAAAATTGATGGTCATTATACTGTTAAGCATTATGTAATATTACATCACAATTGAAGTTAACCCTGTTTTGGGCACTGCCGCCATAGTGACCATTAAAGCAAAACCATGCCACCTACTCTTCTCACACTTACAGAAAAGAAACATGGAACTTGATTAATTTTTCTGGAAGTTATACATTTTTTCGCGAAAACTTAAGGTGTAACTTTAACTTCCATGGGCTATGAAAACCTGTGCTAGTCATAATTGATGGTCATTATGCTGTTATGCATTATGTAATATTGCATCAAATTTGAAGAAACCCCAATTTGGGCACTGCCTTCATAGTGACCATTAAAGAAAAATCATGTCACTTACTCTTCTTGACATGCAGATCAAATAAGAAAACCAGTTCAATTGGATTATCATTTTTATTGGATTAATGCAATTTTCATGTGAAATTTTCATTTTTCTCGGTCTGGCACTTTCTAAGTGTGTACTTTAACTCTCATGGCCCTGAAACCTTATCCTTTTACTTTCATCGGTATCACCTGTTGTGCATAATTAAAATTTGAAGTTGACTTTGCAGTTTAGTATAATGTATTATTGCATCAGAATTAACAATATTCTATTTTGTGAATTATTATTTTCTTCTTTTTGTCTGTACATTTGACAGCTTTGCTGCCTTGTTTTTTATTTCAGATACCATATCTTACGTGAATAATCGTTCAGAAAATACCAAATAGCGGTAAAAATATTTATATTTTGTAATATTAATTCAAATTTAGAATATGCACCTCCTGTACTCTAGTGTTTGTCTGTGAGTTCAGAGGTAAAGAAATGTCTTTCAAGTTAAAAAGACACCGCCAAAGGCAAATATCACCAAATTTACACAAAATTAGCATTAGCATGTGCTCGTTAAGGGTCACGTATCTAACAGCGTGTGTGCAATTATTGTTATTATATACGTGTACAGTACGGGCATCGCATTTCAAATGTAATCTATGCTTAACCTAGGAATACGAGTAAATAATGTAAACTTGAAACTTTAGTCTACTTTTATATCCTGTCAATCATACTCATATAGGGAGCTTTTTGATAAAATCAGCCCAAAATACGCAAACACACATAAATCGTAATCCAACAAATGAACTTTTTTCTACTTTAATTGATGACTGTCAATCAAATTCGTCAAATGTGACGGCTTAATTGACAGTTTTGTAACTATCAGAATACTTACTTAAATCACTCAAACACTATTACTAGGTTTATCTGATCTGACAAAAAATTAATATTAATCGAGTAAATTTCAAACCTTCGTTAGGGCCCCTTTACACTAGTCGGCGTCCTTTCTGCGTCCCTTCTGCGTTCAAAAATGTGGTCAGGACGCTCAACGGTCGCCAAAGCAATTAAATCGTGTCTCAGTGTAAAGTCGTCTGCGTCCCTTGTGCGTCCTTTGAACGACCGAATCTTGATTTTACCTGTAAAACTGCGAGCAACCTGCCTGCCTCCACTGTACGTCCCCTGTGCAACCCAATGCGTCCATTGCGATTTTTGAGCGACCATTGAACATTCTTGCCGTGTTCTCTGTACCTTCATCGGCGATCAGTGGCGTCTATTCTACGATCATTCTGCATCCTGCTTGACCGATGAGCGTTGTTTGGGCGTCCTTCTCTATATTCTAACTCATATTCTTTCATCGGTCCTAACCAGGTCATCCGATAAAGAACATTTCCAGCACACAAAACAAATAAATGGGAATAAACGCTTTAAACTATAGTGATGCAAGGTCTACATGGACTGATAAACAGTCAGACGTTCATTGTTATCCTTATAAGAAGGATGGACAGGCGCCGAAAACGAGAAAGTGTGACTGACACAACATAGAATATTTGAATCCATTTTCAAATGACGCATTCTGCAAAATGTTCTGACAATTAATTCATCTTGTAAAAAAGGGCAAAATATTCGTTTTATAACAACCTAAAAAAATGGATCGTTTCATGAATTTTAGGGTAAAAACAGAATACTGTTGCCCTTAGAATTCCTGTCTGGTGAAAAATACTTCATCACGGCCCCGTTTGAGAGTGAAAAAAAAATGGACGATCTTTGAGTTTTCATTCTGCAACCGACGCGATGCTTGTGCCTCCTTTCTACGACCGCGGCGATGCTTGTGCGTCCTCTCTGCGACCGCAGCGTTGCTTGTGCGTCCTCTCTGCGACCACGGCGATGCTTGTGCGTCCTTTCTGCGTCCATTGAGCGACCATCCTCCATCGCGTTCTCTCTGCGATTGTTTTGAACATGCTCAAAACATCGCGGCGTCCATGGCGTCCTCGGCGATGCTTGAACGTTCTCTGTGCGACCTTGGCGATCACTGTGCGTTCTTTGAGCGTCCGACGGCGTCCTGGCTAGTTTCATGGACGCACAAAGGACGCAGAAAGGACGCCGTCCAGTGTAAAGGGGGTTTTACTGGTCAAATAACAAATCTCAAGAAGTAATTTGTAAATTTTGATTAAATTCTTAGCTAAAATGCTTATTTTCGAGAGGAAAAGGTGATTACAATTTTAACCGAAGCCGGGTACTGAAATATTTTATTCAATTTTTCTATTGCCTTTTTCCACGGAGGTCGGTCCTCTTGGAGCAGTCTAGTTAACCTTGTTTTGAAAATTCCATGTAGGGAGTAATTTGCGTACGTGCATAGCCAAGCTGAATCTATGAATATTTCAGTCCTTCAAACAAAAGCACGCGAAAGTGTATTCATTGATGATTATATTCAATTTAAAAACACCTGCATGTCATTGTAATTTTAGTGTTTGTCGAAGCTATTACGAGTTGTGTAATGTTGCTCGCGTGGAAATAACATTAAAGATGCAGGCCAATGATGAATACATTACTGTGAATGCGCAAAGTGCAGCTGATTCAAATCCGGTTTCACCATTATCTCTCTACATTTACTGCAGAGCAATTTGGTAGTGCGTGAGGAAACTGCATGTAAATGTAGTGCATATATCATCCACAACTATAATATGCCTATTCTGTTTTCTTCACCTTTTTTAGACCTTTTGGTCTAATCCTTGATGCCTACGACTCAAAAGCTACTAAAACACATTTTATTTCATGTTATGGCGAACAACGGGCTTTTTCGTGTGGAATCAACACACAAAGCACCCGTGGATTTATGATGAATCTGAGAAGTAAGTGGCAGATGATAGCAGCAATATAGTACAGTTTGTCGTCTTCAATATTCCGAAACCTAGGGTCCGTCACATGTGACTGTATCAGTCACGCTAACAGGAAATTTGTAGGACATCTATATGGCTTCCTGATATGACGGACACCTTGTGAAACCTTTTGAGACAATATTCACTGCAATGTCTTCATCTCCCAGGTAATAGGCCCCGTAGAACTATCGGTGTTGGTGACTTTTTTTTTTTTTTTTTTTTTGCAAAGCACTTTGTCATATAAAAACTTTGAGGCGGTTAAACATTTACTGGTATTTACACTATTGCACCATTATCAACAAGTCACATATAAAAAATATGATCACTGGTATATTTCTTTGTTGATGCAATTTTCCGTATAAAATAAACCTCCTGAGACCAGTGCAAATGACATGCATCTATAGTTTCAAATGAACGTGTCAAAATGCCCTTTGTACCCCTCTGATGGTTGGGTCTTGGGTATGGGCCTATGGATCCTAGATAGACATGGTAAACTGTTTAACTCCAAATTTGCCTTTGTAAGTATAATCTGAGTATTTACACCCAATATTCCTTCAGAGCTGAATTGATGTTCTCGTTTTTAAAAAGTATATAGGTTTACATATATCAACTAGAAAAGCACTCAGAGAGCGCAGACCTCCGCCAAGGCAGCAAAGTCTCCATCCAATGCCGTTTCACCCCTAAATTTTCGATAATTTTGATTATTGATTATTGATCCGGATCACCACCACAAACTAATCATCTGTTCCTTGGCCCACTTCTGACAGTTCCTGAAAATTTCACCAAAAACCTTTTTGAGTTATGTTGATGACAGACAGATAGACAAACAGGGGTGAAAACATAACCTCCTTGGCAGAGGTAATAAAATCTTTGCTTCAGCGCCCCATTACCCATTTATATAGGTAAAGCGCTACACAGCTCCTCTTGCTTATATTCAAGAACGATCGTATGGTAGGATGGGGAATATAGTTGAGAACCTTTATCAGTAGGGTGTGCTATGATTGATATGTGTATGAGTGCGTGGGTACAGTACGGAAACACCACAGCAATGATGTATTTTGCTACAAAAAAAATCTTTTCGTAGAAATTTTAACTTGTGAAAACAAGAAAAATAATGGAGGCATTTAATTAAATGTTGTTTTAACACCTAATAAACCACACAACCCCCCCCCCCAAGGTCCACTTACAGTCAATTTTAAAATAACGTTAGTTCATTTATAAAGGTGTTCGTTTAATGAATGTAATATGCATTTTAAATTTTCATAGCTGAGCATCAATAATTCTAAAACACGATCTTGCTTTGCTGCTACTAATGCACCATACCTGTATGCATTTCATTTATATGGCGATACATGTCTTGGGCTTGATTAGGATTTGTTAAAATTAAATCACATTTATTCTGTTATCATATAACCATAAGCATTGACAGAGCTCTCCACGACATGCTCATGGGCACATCATTATAAAGCGAGTTGATGATGTGGTTTTCTTTCCCCATCCAATCGTTTGATATCAATTTATTTATATGAAAGTCACAAAATCTCCCATGGTTTTGTTTGCTTAAGATGTAATGTAGCCATTAACAAGAGACATGTCTCAGAAGGCTTTGAGTAGCGTATTATTTTTCACACTTGATCCGCTTAGTCCTTGTTTTTGAATAAAATCCCTATGATCCATAAGCCTGTATTATCGAGTGGCGTAAGTTTTCTTGAGGTGTAAGTTTGATTAGTGTTCTAAGACTCCTAGAGTTTCACACATACCTAATTAAGGTGCACCTGCAATGCTTGAGTTATGTGCTAAAGAAAAAAAACCCAGATGCGTTGTCTCAAAAACCCGAAAATCCAGGCAAGTATTTTTGAACTGCTAGTTCCTGACAAAATTACAACAATGGTGTCCCTAAATACTGCCTGTAAATAGCACAGTGTGAGGTATGAAAATTAACACCTAGGCCCTTCAAACCTCCCTCCGTCTTTTTTTCTTCCTGTTTCACCCATTCAAATGTGTTCAACAGAATAACTAAAAACGCTGAGTTGGTCTGACCTGAGCAAAAAAGTTGACCACCAAATATTTCAATATGGAANCCTCACTGATCTTTTGGCATATGGACTCCATTGTTTATCCCTGATTTGACAGATTGTCATAGACAGAAACATCAAGAGACAAAAAATATTTGGATGTTCCCAATGGGAATTTGGTAATTCATAAAACGAGAAATAGCAGTGCTGACCTGACACTGCCTATCTACAACTTTCAGCTTGAATAAAAAGAAACATTTCTTACAAGCAAATTATTGTAATTTCAAAGCTTAACTCACAAAACATGGAAATACCAGTACCCTAAATGACTGTATGCTGCCACCAGAGCAGAACTGGCTGCTGGTATTGGCACTAATTTCTTAGTAACCCTGCATCAATCTTAATAATTGAAATAAACAATACCCGAGCAACAAAGCAAAATAGTCTGTTTCTATATGTGAGATATTTTCTGCTTTGTTGGGTGGCACTTGTATTTAAGATTTTTGTATAACTGTAGTACAATAGTCATATGAAGTTGTATGCCACTGGTTTACAATCACAAAAACAGAAAAGAACAAGTCAGGAAGCCGTAACTTTGTAGCCATTGTACTGGTATATATAAAACCTATATATGATTATTCAAGCAAGGCTATACACACACTGTCTTCAAGTTTATGGGTTCCAACATCTGTGCCATCTCCTGAGCAGGCTGCCACTGGTTAAAATTCACTGTCATTCCTTTCCTATCTAATTTCAATGTATAATCTTGGCTTCCACTCCATTTTTTTTTCACGACTGCCTCATTTATTAATTTAGGACTTCCACAGATGGCCAACCTGCTTTAATTATCTGAAGATTTAGTGATCTCAGTTAGATTTGACTTGGCTACCAGGTGGCACCATGGCACTGAGGAGGATGAGCAGATCTAATTTCCCCAATTCTGTAACTGTAGGTCATATCTGTCACACTTCAAGTCTGCTGCTGGGTTTCATTCAATATTCCCGATTCTGAAAAGAAAAATATCATAACAAATTTGGTCTAATATGTCAACATACACATGAAGAGCACACACACACACACACACACACACACACACACACTTCATTTTATGTATCATCAAATAATCTACTTTATAAAACAACAGCATTAACACCAGTCTTACCTCCACACAATCTATCAATTAAGTAGTACAAAACTTAATTAGAATAACAAACTGTATAAAATACAATAAGGTTTCCCTTTTTCAATTGGAAAACTGATAATCAAAAGCCAGGAATAATCAGATTTGCTGATACCAAAGACCCTATCTAAACATTTTCCTTTACAATTGGAAAATTTTCTGGATGTTTGTCTCAACAGTAAAGCCTGGAAAAGGCCAGTTAAGTTATTTATATTTCTGTACAAATTGTGGATGCCTTGTGGTTCTGAATCACATATACATATATAATGTACGAGACCTAATCAGAAGTACTTGATCAGGCTGCTGTGCTTCTCCTTTGAGATCTCTTGATAGTGCACCATAAGGATCACAATCTAATTTAAAACTAAATGGTGCCTAATAAAGAAATGGGTTTTTAGGTGGAAAGGGATTTAACTGCTCTTGGAACACTTGGACTACTTGAGAAAATGAACAAAGCTTCTAATAAGGATGGGAGAGAGGCCATAGTCTTGAGAAGACCAGGTTCACTTACTTTAAAGTGAACTCATGATGCAAACATGTTACTAATAAAAGGGATTGAAAATTTTATATAAATGAACATGCTAGCTAGCTCTGAACTGCATTTCAGTCTGCTCTTTATCAATCCCTGATGCTAGCGAATTTTTGAAATGAAAATACTGGCAAACAATCCCATACCCATTTTTACCACATTCTGTGTCTCTTTTACCATTGTAATTTATGTTATCTTTTGGCTGAAAATCAAACTCCTTTAATGGTTCAAATGTTGTAATTTACATTACAAGGGGATAAAACTTGTTCAAGTCCATTTTCTTGGATGTGTACCTTAACTTTTCCACTTTAACTCCATCCTCATTAGTAAATCCACATTGCAGATGATAAAAAATTGAAATTATTTACATTTTGTTTCAGGTTCCTTGAATTTCCTATGGCTTTCCCAATGAAGTCATATTTCAAAGATTTTTTTTTTTTTCATTATGAAAATGGAAGCATTAACAAACATGCTATTCTTAATTAAATTACATTTCCCCCATTACAACAGACTCTGGAACAATGAATCAAAAGCATTTGTCACCACACTAAATCTCACACAGGAGGTGACCTTGAGGATGACAGACAGCCTAACTGTAAATGTGGGTCATAAATAACACAACTCCGGGATTATGCAAGTTTCATAACTTTGCAATATCAGGGAAAATATTTTTCTTTGGTTCTTTATTTGTTTTTTGCCATCAAGAAGTACACACGTCAAAGACCCACCTCACAATTTTGCTGTCTCTTACCAATTGGATAAAACCCAATTTAAAACTATATAATGGCATCAACACATTCAGCACACACTTACATAATTATGTTCTCAGATTGGCAATGAGAATTGTGACTGGACAACTCTGGACTGTCAAGCTTTGATAACATGAAAAGCAGTAGCGTTTTTTCAATATGATTGATTGTCCCAGAAGTGTTGTGCTGATGAAGCAAAGGGCCTTGATCTGTCATAATCTTGTCTTTATCTATATACAAGACATATTCTATGCACAGCATTTACACAAGGGTGTTTGGATCAGCTGACACCACATGTGATAATCCAATCAACTTGTGATTGATTGCAATCAAACTAACCAAAACTACTACGCAATGTTTCAGAGGGTATTGAGGATGTTCACATGTGCTGGTCCAGAGTCCACATTGACACTGTTAAAAGAAGGCATGAGATGGAGTGAACATAAGCAAAGCAAATAAAATTGTATAATATACTGCTTGCTTTTAATAACTCCTGGGGCACCAAAAGCTGTTTTCTTGGAAATACTGGAGCCAAACAATGAGTAATACATTCATTAGTCTGGATCAAGATAAACTGGGCTGGTAGAGTCTGGAACAGTATTAATTGGGTTTAATCTGGGATGAATTGAATGGACTGTTTTCACTATACAGCAAATCTTAATCACAATATTCTGATCTAATAAAGCTATATCCGTTTGTGTATGAATGTGTGCATGCACACGCATGACTGTGTGTGTATGTGAGATAATGCTATGTGTGCAAATGGTACACCAAAGAGCCTGTACTTTTCATATTTACTTATATATTTAACATCAAATCTATGATTAAATTGTCAATATTTTTTGGGGGGTATATATTCTACAGATTGTAATCAGTTCCCAAAACCAAAACTACTGGAATGTACACCAACCGTACCTCACTTCAGAAGTTTAGTTCTAAGCAAGTTAAACAGGACTTTAAGGGATAAAAACTGTTCATTTTGGCCCAAAAATGGATTTCCCTTGGGTAAACGGCAATTTTCCCTTACTTACCATTGGTTTTTAATGAATCTGCTCAGACATTTAAAGTTAGTCCATGTTTTTTTTTCTAACAAGTGTCGTTTTTTGTAATATCCTCTAAGATTTTTTCAGAGGGTAGCCATCTATGGAGGTCACATGTTCTGATGGCAAGCACAGATTCCAGAATAATTGCGATAACCGTCATTTTGGTGGTAAAACAGAATTTATTTTATTTCTACATTAGACTCTGGAACAGTTGTTTACAATATATTTATTGTGAAATATGGATCCCATACGAAGAGTGGTTATCCCTTTAACCTAACAGATATAAGACTACAATTAATGAGGCCTAATGTAACCTTTTTCACCTCATGCTGGCCCATCTTCAATCTAACAACATTTCCAGCTAAGTTAGCAAGAAACTGGGCTAATGATTCCAAGTCTTAACAGAATGAATAACATGTGTACAGCATGTAAACAGGGATTATTGAATCTTGTAAGTTTCAAATAGACACATGTCAGCACAGCATGGCAATCTGTGTGTGTGTTCATCAAATAGTGCTATATATAATGGTTAAAGTGAATAACTTCTAAAATAACTTTTTTGACTTTTCATGCCTCCCCCCCCCCTCCTTCTAGCATTTAAAACTAGCTCAGTGCAGAACTGTGGTAATGCTTTGACCAAATGACATTCTCAGTACTCAAGTTTTGAAAAGTTAACAAATAATAATATTTCTTCTCAAAAGAGAGGAATACTGGTACAGTATATGATCATACAAATGTGTAAATTAAAGAATTGTGGAGGGTCTGTCTGGGAAAGGGAGTCAGAGGGTCCATACATGATTTCACGATTTTTTGCTCATTCAGTTGATGTCTGCTTGCATATCATTTATCTAAAATGTGAATTAAACACAGATTTAGCAAGAGGCAGGGCTAAAAAGTTTACAGACACTGTAATAGTCTGCTTCGAAAAGAGTTTTTGAACTGTAGAAGAAAGTGTTTTCAAAATGACATGTTCTTGGTTTCTGGACATCAGTGTACCTTTATCTTTTTGCTTAAGGACTGTTCTTCATTTCCATTGGACATGCTTATTCACACAATATGATTTTATAATACCCTTAAGGATTTTTCAGAAGGTTAAAATGGACATTTAGTCACCAACAGCCTGTATAATCCCATATAAATGCAAACCAAGTTGTAATCAAGCATATACCCCATAGACAAACACATTTCCATTGCCTTTTTTCATGTAGTTGTTTCTTATGCTACTTTGAAGACAAGAATCAATAAAATCAAATTTTATAGATTAATTTTCTCTTCTTGAATAAAAAAAAAGTGGTTAATGTATTTGTCTGCTGCGTAAAGACATTAAGCTTTTTTGACAATATTCCTATGTGGATTCAAACTGATTCTCTAATTCCAAAAATGTCAGTTTTGATTACTTGTTATTTACCACAATTGGTCATAAAAAAGATGATTTTTCTCCTACCATTCCCATGACAATTATCTATTATTTTTAAGTGGCAAAAAACATCCCCCACCCTAGCCATTACATATGCAGTTAGCATGCAACTGTTTCCTTTAATCCATTCATGCATACCTGTCTGAAAGAACTGTGCAGACTCCTTTCTAGAATAGAGTAGAGTTATAAGACAAGTGCAGAATGAACACCCATGCAGTGCTTAGACACTGCCATCCTGACAGTCTGAGATGCCCTTACATGTAATAATATTATGTGGGTTTTTATTCCATTTTACAAGTTCTCCACAAGTTCACTTCCTGCCATTTAGTTAACTTTTTTTTTGAGCATGGAGGCTCCGTTTAGGTGCCTATCTTATGTAGTAGAAATGTAACAATTAAGTTTATGTTAATTATCACATTTCTTTAGTCATTTGTGTTTGGTAACAGTGAAAAAATGCCTCACATTTTGGCAGACAGTACCTGTTCTTATTCTTGAAGATACAATATATTCTATCTAATAAAGGACAGGTGCAAACAAGGGTTTACCAAAGTGAAATGTTTTTCTCTTTTTATCAAAAATGTTCACATGTGTGGATATGATAACATAATTATTCTACAAGTACACGCAGCATCCCTCCTCTCTGATTCTCATGCATGTTAAACAAGCCAAAACAAACCAATACTCTACTCACGTTGTAAGCGTAGTCGTTTTAGTTCAGCTTGCTTCTTCCACTCGGGCTCAAACTCTTCCACTTTCTTGGGGAGAGGGTCTATCACTGCAAACAACATGCACAGAATATCACATGCCTAGCCAGGATATCTCACTTCCCCCAACACACTGAGAGACTTTGTTTCACAGAATAGAGATTTATGACTTTAAAATGTTATTTTTATTTGAATATGGAACTTTCCACAGTTTTTTTTTTTTTTCAGATCATAACTTATTTTATCAGCAGTAAAAGTTTTTGCCACTTTTCAGCCAATTTTTATTGATCTCGCTCTGTCTCTCCCCCCCCCTCTCTCTTTTCTTAGAGGAATTAACAGATAAAAAAACAGATAAAGAGAGGTCATACAGAGATGTTACAAAGAGGGGAAAAACTGTGGAATGACATATACATTTTCCCACTTGGATACAACTGTCATGATGCTGTCAAAATGCTTGCATCAGAGACCTGCATGAATGTCTGGATCAAAAAGTGCCTTGTGATAACTGTTTACCAGTGTGTTGGATTAACCATTGATGACTTTTACAAAATCAAGTCAGTCTATTTTTGCCATGCATTTCAATATAAAGGAAAACTTAAAAATAACATGCATGGGCAAATAAAACTACACTGTACAGGGAATATAATATTTTCATATTGCTAAAATAACTGATATGGCGGTTTTAAAGTTGAGCATCATGTTGTCAAACAGTATGCAAGTGGCCAGAATACATGTACTGCATGGGGTTGGACTGACAAAGAGCTTAAATAAAATAATTTCTCACCCCTTCTTATTTTGAGTGTTTTTTCCATTAAAGTAAATTCTAAATTTATTCTTTAGTGCTGGAGGTATATGTTGATCCTATATATGTGTGTTTGAGATGGTATCTATGACTGCCACATGTGAAAATACCTAAATTAATGATATAAAGTGACAAATGTGATAAAAATCACAAGCAAAGTACTCCCCTCCCCCCTCCAGCCATGGGTTGTAAAATCTATTGAAATGACACCTCTTTCATCAGAATGACTATGTTGTTTGAGAGGCTACTCAGTGGTAAGTAACTATCTGAGTCAGTACCAAAAGTTATGTTGTTCAACTGATTTCTTATTTTAATAACAAAAAAAAAAAAAAAAAAAAGCCCAAAAAAGCACTAAGAAGATTTGGAAATGTATTGGTACATGTTTCTTTTAACCTCAAAAGGTTACTGTATATGAATAATTGATGAGCCAATTAGCAAGGCTAGTGTAGAATTCTTATTTCTACTTGTGAAATCTAATCTGTGAGAATTGATATCTTAATGTGTCAGCAGTTTCAAAACCTGAAGTAGATTTCAATGATACGATAAAGTTGAAAATAAATTTATAATTGTAGTTAACAAAAAAGGGTGATTCTCAGCACTATTAAAATGATTCTTAACTTCAGTTGAATAACTGAGGTAAAAATTCTGTTTCATTTAACTGAGTGTATTAACCTTTTGGTTATTTAATATGCAATAGTAGCACAGTACAAGTAGCCAAATCCTTTTCATGCACATTGATGCATTCTTTCTTAACTATAACAACCATTGTCACAGAGGTGAAGATTTGTGATGTGACAAACTTGACAATAAATTGCATGACGCCAAAATAAAATTAAAAAAAACAGCACAATTCAATCATTGAATTCAATACATGAATTTTGCATATCCAAAGTAACATACTGGTATATAGGTATGTGGATTTCCATTTTAAGTTTATCTCAGAACTTATTTTATGTTTGCTTTATACCTCTGGGACTCCTCTTTTTCCTTAGAGCTAGTTCCTGTTTCCATGGGGGAATTGTTGAATCTACTGGGGAAGAGGGGCGATGCAGAGAGTCCTCTTCGTTGGACGTCTGCAGAAAAATGCGGATCATAAAGCTATATAAAGGCTTGCATGTTCTGAAGCTAAGCTGTCAATTTTAATGCAAAATATCCTAATTTTAAACAATTCTTATTTTAATTCTTATTGTAACACATACCAAATATTATTCTGTGTACAGCTTGTAAATCAAAAGAAATGCAAAGGTTTCACACTTAACATGGAAATATTTTATATACTACAGTGATAAATTATGCAAGCAAGACCAGTAGGAATACAAATTACACAGAACAAGTCTATGCAACAAGATAACAAATCATTATGATACTATACTGTCTAAATGCAGCTTATATTAATTGAATTGTGATTGGAGTTGCATGCCAAGCAGTTCAGACAGGATCTTGCAAAGCAGGAAATGTGATAGGTATAGAAACATGCTACATGTACCTTTTTTGACACAAATATGAATTATGCATAAGAGAGTGAGTTCTGGAAGTTCAGACTGAGTAAGAAATGGATACATACATTTACAAGCAGCAAGAGGGAAGGAGAAAGTGACAAAAAGAAATATAGAAAGAGAAAATATGAAAGCCTCATACTCGGCTGGAATCAGAAGAGGTTCTGGTTTTGCTTTTCTCTGCCAGGTTTGTTTTCCAAGGTGGGGTATTGCTATCAGCAGTCTTGGGGGTGGGGTTGAGGGTGGAAGTATTACGGAGTGAAGACACTGGCACAGTTTGCCGTCTGCGATCAGCCTCCAGTTTCCATGAAGGCACTGATGAATCTTTGGTATCTAGGCAAGAAAAAAATAGAGAAACTGTGAGAAGGAATCCAATGTCTGCAAATTGAATCATTCTAAGAGTCTCACTGTGAACTACGTGGGAACTGTCAATTATGTCCCGTCAACTTAGTCCAATTATTTCACAAAAAAACAAGCTAAATAACATTCACTGCATGCATATCTACATTACTTTACTAGGTAACAATAATCAACTTTTCATAATGTCTAAAAAAATCATAGCTTAAAAATAATAAAAAATATAACATAATACATCATGCATGGACTTCTTCAAACAGCCAACATTTTAATATCTGGGTATGGGAGTAGAAGAGGCCAGTCTTAAAAAGACTGCATGTAAATCCTTCGAAAATGTTCCCATTTGCAAAAACATAACAAAAGCTACAAATATAAACTAGAATTTGGTACAAATAGAGGGGAGCATGTTTGTCAGTATTTTCAATATAAAAAAATATATTTAAGGGCCTTCATGAGAAGCCAAAAAGATATCTCTTAAACAGTTTTATCTCTACATGCATTAACATTCCTTCTTGAAAAAATATAAGCACAATTGATTCTTTCAGGATTGGATTTGTATTTGATCTAAACTTGATATACCTAAGAATGGGTTAATAATGTGGTCATGAGATCACTTACCCAGATGTTCCCTGGGGGAGGTCTGCGGAGATGATCCTGGAAGGTGATGCCTAGAAAGAGGATAAAGTAAACCAATGTACAAAAGAAAAACTGAATCACTAATCACTAATTTAGAAGAGTTTTATACTATTATTATTGCATTTTTATTAATATTAACATAAATAGCCTTTATGATGTTTCACGAATGAGGTACGAAACTCATACAAAATACAGTGTTCTCTTACCCAAGACTTGGCAGAATTGTCTTTGGTGTATATGCTGGTTTCCCAAAACCTGTGGACGAAGTCTTTTCAGAGCCTTCATGTTTACTGGTGGCTTTTCTTTGAGTTTCCTCTTTTGGTGGTACATTTTCATCTGTGACCTTCCCATCACCAGCTGCTGTCATCATTCCAGAACCTCTTGACCTTGACCTTGGGGAAATGCCATATGACAGTCCCATTACGGGAGCAGATGGTTGTGGAAGATTTTTGTCAACCATTTTCTTGTGGTCTATTTTTGTAATTTCCTTGTCATCCCTTATTGTATCTTTCTTGTTGCCTGCCACCTCCAAGTGGGAAATGTCCTTTATGGGAGGCTTCGTCTTTGAACTAGATGAGGCCACATAAGAAAGTTGCATCATGGGCGGAGAAGCAGGGAGGTCTTTGGCAACTGGGCTACGTTTTGGTGAAGCTGCTCTTCTTGGAGAGGAAAGCCATGTAGGAGAGGTTGGTGAAGGAACCTCTGCTGAATCAGTTTTTGGAGACAGCAATGGGGAAGTGACCTGTCTTGATTTGCTAGGTTTCAGATGACTTGGTTTTGAATCACTTGATTTTAATTCGCTAGGTTTTAAGTCTCTAGGTTTTAATGGACTAGACTTTGGTTCTAATGGTTTTAATTCACTATGTCTTAATCCATCATGCTTCAATTCACTAGGTTTTAACATGCTAGGTTTTGATTCACTGGTTTTCAAATCAGTAGACTTGAAGTCATTAGATGCAGTAGGTTTCATATCACTAGTCTTTGAATCAAGGGGCTTTAATTCTCTAGACTTCATGCCATATTTTGGTGAAGACAACAGAGATTTGGCATTGCCCCATGGTACTTCAGTTAGCTTGCTCTCCTCAGTTTTGGTAGTCAGTGCACTAAAGTCTCTAGGTTTGGGAGCAGGCTTTGGAGGAGAGGCAGTCCCTGGGCTTGCCCTACCACTATCACTACCAGCAGGCCTTGCATAAGGACGGGGTGAAGTTAGTAATGAGGCACTTTTTGGAGAAGATTTGTCCTTTGGAATCACAGAATAGGGAGCATTTGGAGAGGGATGGAACCTTGAAGGATGGGGCTTACCAGCATTTTTATCCTCCAAAGAAGAAGATAAATCCAAGTCATTGGGTCTCGTTGCAGACTGCAATGGCACTGGTGGACTTTTTTCAGGTCCTGCCATGCTGGTGTCATGTGGTGTCTTACTTATTTCTTTAGCTAGACCCTTTTTAAGCCATGAAGGAGTGTCTTCTTTGGGTTCTGGACTTCTAAAGTTTATCGGTGAAATTAATTTGGAGTCAACCTGTTCTTTTTCTGGTGTTAAACCTTTTGAGTTATCCAGTGGAGAACTTATTGATTCTCTTTCTGGCAAAAGTGATTTTGCACTGGGAATTTCTTTCTCTGGTGTCAGAGACCTTGTTCCTGTATGCAGAGGACTTCTCAATTCTTTCTCTGGTGAAAAACCCTTTAGCTCAGCATCTTTAGGACTTTCTACATCCCTCTTTGGTGCAAAAGACTTTGATGCATCTTGTTTTACACTTTTCACATCTTTCTCAGGAGTAAGTGATTTGGGTCGATCCTGTAAAAGACTTTTGTCTGGGGAGACAGACTTTCTCTGCAGAGCAGCAAATCTGTTCTGCAGTTCATTCTTGTTTCCAATGACTGGTGCATCATCCTCTGTACTTGATCTTGTTTGTTCTGGAGGCAAGGCTCTTAGTGGAGATGTTCTGCTTGTTCTCCTTAATTCCTTCATCCATGGAGCTACGTGGGCATTTTCAGTGGCTGATTCTCTATCTTTCTCATTCATAGAGGCCTTTTCTTCTTTATTTTCATTTTCTGCAATAGCAATGTATCATCAGTCTCAATTATTCATTAAATAATTTAAAATGGTTGACATTTATTGTTTAATAATTTTTAAAATCTTTTCAGTGATGAGCATCTGAGCTGTGCTTAACTTTTTCATCTTAGATGGATTTTACAGAAAAGATAATGAGAACTATCTATTTTTTTATTGTTCAAGTGTCTGAAAACCATCTCATTTTCAGATTATACAACGTAAGCTTTCAAATTTGTCCCCACCTTTACTTGACATTATTACTCTGACCAAGATGGATGAGCATGTTACCTTTGGCTTCTTTGGCTTGCATTTTTTCTTCTGCTCTCTTTTGCTTTCCCAAGGCATCTTTCATCCAAGATGGCTTTTCAGGACTTTCATCCCTCTTCTCTCTTTCATCACCTGCAGTCCTTCTGGATAAAGCTGAAAAAAATGTGACCTTTTAGCAAATCCACACAATTTAAATAACAAAAAAGGACCAAAATATTTAAATTCAGGCTGTTTTTGCATAAATCCTATATGACAAAAAGAAAAATCTTACTGATTGCTGGATAATTCAATAATGCTTAACCCACATAAAAAATTCCATATCCCTCAAACCTCTGGCATGTCCAAGCTGTTTGTAAGCGAGAGGAAGGAGGCAAAAGTGGTTGGAAAATTCTCCTTCATTTGCATCATATAGTTTAAAAAAACTTTCTTTCCAGCAACCTTCCCCTTCATTTGATGTCCTCTAACTAATGCTAACAAAAACCTGGAACTAATACCCTGATTAATACCAGCAAAGTATAACATCTTATGTCTAACATATGAGAAATAGTTAGTGTACCTGCTTGCACCTCCTCCCTAGCAGGTAGTGGTGATGTCTTGGTCCTTTTCACCTTGGCTTCTCTCAACCAGGCAGGCGGGGACTCAACAGTCCCATCAGCCTCTGGGGTTGTTGCGCCATCTGGCTTGGAGACATTTGTCTTACGAAGCTAAAAAATAATCAGACATTTTTGAACTGTCAATTTTTTTGGGGGGGAAAAAGACAATAAAGAAAATATTTAAAAAAAAAAACATCACTGAATTGAAATCAATTAAAAATGAATATGAAAGGAAGTAAAATAAAAGAGAGAGGTGGAATATAATTTGATTTCATGTTGTAAAACTGGAATTATTGTAAAACACCTCAGGGAGATTGTTTATATGTGATCAGTAAAATTATCTGCAACACATAATCAGGAAAACATCAACATCTGATTCAATACTTTGCATTATTCAAGAACAGCAGGAGTTAGCTGGCAAAGCTGTCAAAATCTTCTATAAAAGAAAATGAAAGACCTGAAAGAAAAATCACCTTAGGTTTGCCTTCAAGAAGACTAGGTAAGACCATGGGGAGCTTCATTCCAGGCAATGCAGGTCTTTGAAATGGAGGGGGCTTACTGCCCTCCTCTTCTATACTCTGATGACGACTCTGTTCACCAGAAGGCAACCATGACACTTCTCCATTAAAAACTTCTTCTTCTTCAGAAGAGGCTCTTGATTTCCTAGGCTCTGTAATGTTTAAGGTGAAAAAAAAATAAAACAAAATCAGCCAAAGAAGTAAAGTTAAAGTGGTAACTATATGATGAAAGTTAAATTAACAAATATTTATTCAAACCCTAATCAATGCATCTAGATGTTCTACTCAACTAACACAATACTGGGTTGAGACCCTCTCATGTATATCAGAGTAAAGTGTTATCAATCACCAACACATCCATATCAGTTCAACTAACACAATGAAAGTAATGTTCCTCTCAAAAGAAAAAAGGTCTTTGTGAAGTCACTTTAACACACTTCAAAATATAAATGTTTTAATCTTTCATTAAGATTCAGAAATCATAAAGCAACCTTCTGAATGTAAGATAACATATATATATTTAGTAGTGGGACATAGGTAAAATAATGAATAATATTTACAGTTTGGGACTGAATTGCAAATATTTTTTTAATAAAACTCTTAAATCATATAGCTTACCTGTTGAGTCTTCAAACATTGAATCTGTGTCACTTGCTAGGCTGCTGCGTATGCTGCTTCTGGTTGGCTTGCGTCTCTTACCCATGGTGCCCTTGTGACGTAACACACTTTTCTCCTTACTGGCATGCAGGTCAAGGGTGGGGGTACTCTGTGGAAAATAAATAAAATTATTTAACTCCATGGTTTAAGCACAGCCGGCACCATTAGTTACTCAAAAAAACATAATATGGTATTAAGTAAATAAAAACCTGAAATTCAGTAACTATAAACAGTGCTTTTTTTTTCATTCTCTCTGTATAATATTACAAATCATCCTGTAAACATCCTCAATCACAAAAGTATTTTTTAAAATCAACATGTTGAATAACATGCTGAATAACATATGTAGAAAATGTAAATCAGTATCAAACATAAACAGACAGTACAAATTTCTAATAGCATGTAATTCCTGAATATCCCTGAGATGTGTATCTTACCTCAATCACAGAGAAATCCAGACCAGCATTGTCAATTCTGTTATCTTCTGATGACTGAAATTGGAAAAAGATAAAGCAACATTAACAGAAACACCAGTCTTGGTATACTGGGGTACACCCGTAGCACATTACAATGTGGAAGAGAATAAACTCCTACTAGGTATCTAATGTTTTAAAATGTGTAACTTTATCTTTAATAATCTGAGGTTATTTTAAACAGTGCTCTGTTTACTATAATGTGGATATGAATTAATCACTCATTACATCAACTAATAAAGAACCAAATTTTATGAACAAATGAATTATATAATATCTGTGATATTAAAGCATGTCTAACCTTTAAATTATTGTATATAACAAACACAGAATTCCAAAAGACCAAAGTTTTTTAAACACATTAATAACCTAATTGCAATAAAAGTTCATCAAAAAGATTGTTCTTGGATCCAAGGAATTGCATTTACTGATGCTACTGCTGTTGTGACAAGAGCAAAACTTAGCTGTTTCCCTACTATTTTTTGTTCCAAGGTAAGTGATTACTATCACTAAAACATCAGTAAATGCAAAAAATTGTAATAAAGGCATATCTGAGAGCAATATGAAAATACCAAAAAATATGTTTAATTAAGTTCCTTTAGCTCCTGACCAATGAAATGTATCAAGTACAGGTAAGACATATCAGACAAATGTAATGGCTAGTTTTCCATTGTTCATAAATCTTACATTCTCTCTGGGTCATCTAGGCAGAACATGTAGTTATTCACGGACAATTAAACATAAGCTGAAGTTAGAAGTTGGGGTTGTGATATACTACCTCTGAAGGGTATTAAATGAATCAATCAAAGATGCATTTTGTTTTATTCTGTGATAGTTTATCTGAGAAATGAAATGCTCGGGAGGATTGGAGGAATGTTGAAGCATTAGGGTTTACCCATGTGTATTCCCAATATGGTCAATTTAACTATGTCAATTTACCTTATAATCTTGACACTTCACTAAAATTTACTAAACGTTCAAGTTTAAACCTACCTATTTATAGTTTAAGCAGTTAGTCAAAAAGAAAAAGTATGATTTCTGAATCAAAAGCCAGAAAAAAATCTCCTGCTTGACTGCTAATTATATGTCAACATTCAAAGATGATAAATGATATAATACTTTTTTGTAAAGGTCATTGTAAAAGCAAACATAGAGTCTATTCCAAAAATTTCAACAAACTACATATAACTTACTTTTACACCAACAGCATGCTTTAACTTGTTATCATTATTGTTCAACAAGGACTTAGAGGTATTATTTTTCTGCATGGGATAAGTGTGGTAAGCTGAAACCATCCTCTCGGGTTTCTGTAGCAAAATTTCCCCTGAAGACTTTGTGTAGTTCCCTGTGAAAAGCATTCCAGCTTTATTTCGCAGCTGCCTTGTATAATGATCATCAAGTGTGGTCTTTCCATTGTAAAATCTAGTGTTGTCTGTACTGTAAAAACAGCTTTCCGATCTCCCTTTGTTAAATGTGCATTTTTCAATATTAAAGGAGCTAAACTGATCAGAATCAGAGTTGTTGCTAGCAGTACTATGACACCGTCTGTCATACCCTGTATCAATCATGTCACCTTTGGAGGACAGTCGAAAATCCCCCTCTCTGTTTTTGCTTTGACGCAATCTCTCATCAAATTCAAGCCTACGGCCAACTGTGCCTTGCATGCGAGATATTTTTGGTGTTTTATGAAACCATTCAGATCTGTATGATAGTGTGTCATCGGGCTGTCCCCAGGCCAATAATTTATCTCCACCAGCTGGTGTTATATGTTGTAATCTGGAATTATCATAAATACTTCTCTGATCTTCCACCTTGTAAAAAGGCTCATTTATATGCATTTTCTCTAGTTGTTCACAGTTTTTATTATCAAAATGCCCTGTGGATGCAAAGTCATAACTTTCAAGTCTGTCGATTCTTGTATTCCCATTAAAATCCTGAGATTCGCCAAGAAAAGTGGGCATTTTATTCCAGTTTTTTCCACCTTCCATGCTAGTAGGAGATACAGGCAACTCAGCTGTATAATACTTGTCATTTGATGAAGATCCGTTCTGTGCCTGATAATAATCACTCTTATTATAAATATATGTTGTTTTGGCATCTGAGCCAATAGTCTTACTTATTTGTGTTTTGATATTATCTGTCAAGTGACGGACACCTGTTTTGTTTGGAGTGGACAATACTGAGAGGTGACCACCATTCACATCACCTGATCCTTGAAGAGGCGATGAACTAGAATTGATACAGTCACATTTGTTTGCCTCCCTGTCAAGCCGGGGTTCATTGAGGAAGGACCCTCCATTCTTGTGCCATTCAACAGAAGTCACCCTTCCTTCTGCTTGCTGCTCATGATTTTCATGCAACACTGTCTGTGCAAACATGGCCGAGCTGTTTACTTTACTGCTGTACACCATGGGTGTGATGTGTTTCTCTTGTGTGACTTCCTTTGATTGGGATATTTGAGGTATTTCGGTGCTGCCACTCCTCTTCCATTCAATTGAAGAATTCCTGTGCCCAGAAGACTGCACGTCTGAAGCAAATTTACTTCTACAGTTTGGTTCAGTGTTGCCATTTTGATAATTGTGTAGTTTTCTCAAATGACTTAGATTTGCTTCATCTAAAGATCTGCTTTTGCTAAAAACATTATCCAACCTAATTTCATTGTCCGTCTTCTTGTCACTGTGGTCCCCTTCATGTGCAGCAGACACCCTGCCCACATGTACATTAGCAAGTTCATTCCTAACCCAGGGATAAGACCCATATGGCCCTGACTGCCTCAGGTGCCTTGGTAGGTCTCCTAGGGTGGTCAGGTGTCCACTGCGATGACCACTTCTCTGAATGCCACTTCTCTGTCCTCCATATTCATTAAAACTCTGAGATCTCCCTGGCATCCTTACTCCATACATCTGATATGACTTTCTCTTCAGATTATTTACATAGCTGTTGTCTGCCTCCATCACTTTTGCTGTCACGGTATTGTAAGTGAATGCACGTATATTGTAATGACATGTACTAAGAATACAAAACACAGAAGATTATCAGTTATTTATGACAAAGAAGAATAATTCCCCTAGAGCAGAGAATAATTATAGATCAATATTGCATGTTGGCAACTGCAGTGAGCAATATCCTTTACGGCTTCAAATGAAACAGTGTTACCATCACCTGTTAATGTAAGGAAGTTATGTCAGTCAATCAGAAAGTAATTGTCATTGCTAATTACAAACTACTAACAAGTGTTATTTCAGTCCTGTAAGGCACTGCCCTCTTAGTTATTGATTTAAATAAGAAATCAGATATTTCAATTATACCTTAGAGACTAAAAAAACTGATTGAGTCGAACTTAGTAGCAATTTCCTCATGAAAATATGTGTGAATTTCCTGATCATATTCTGTAGAAAAAAAACCAACATTGATTTTTATATGAATTTAGCACAGGCTGATTCCTCCTTTACTAGTCTAAGTATTGGGTGTGTATTAAAACAGAAAACAGCAACTGAAGATCTCCATATGTTAGCTTCAGGTCTCTCTCTATTTATAGTGCAACATTCTGTGACATTTGAAGACCAAATCCAAGTTGAAGTTCTGATATTTCTATGTTCAATATGTAATGTCACCTCTTCTGCTGACCATTCCAAAATGTCAACATAACTACCCCGGTAGCTGTCAATTTTATCACCGACAGTCACTTTCTGTAGACTTTCTGCTCGATGGTTCAGGTAATCACTGTCCTGGTACGTAGAAAATTCTAAGAATTAAGTACCAGCAGTTATATTATCTTTGGCTGGTGATCAGAAGACTGTTATGAGTATGACAACCTTGTGTCACCTACATGTCACCTTTATGACACCTGTTGTGATAAAATAGACTCACTGCTCATTAATTCAGGTGTATATATTGTTTGGTGCTTCAAAAATGCTGGGATTAAATTCCTTCTGCTGTAAGCTCTGCCATATGCACTGAAATATGTATCCAATGAATGCTCCAAGTTGTTGGCCATGTTGTATTACAGCACATGTGCAAGCTATGTCAGCTAAGAATGCTGTATTCTCTTGTTAACCTGCACTTTCAGTAATTTAGAACAAGAGAGAGATTTTTGCCAATAATTCTACATACAATGAGTTAGAAAATAAGTCATGTCTCATAAAGTGCATGATATTTCTCTCTTACTATGTCATTACAAGTAGAACAATTTAACTCATTCTCCAATATTTCTGCTTCACAAAGCTTTCTGCTATATTAAACAGTATTCTGCATCAGCTGTCTTGTGTTTATAAGTGCCCTCCAAACTGCAGTGAACATGGGTCTGATTCTGGCAAAGTTCTAGACTTTGCATTTCATGTATGATGGATAATATACCATAGCTCCTCATTCAATTTCCATAAAAAGCTCTGCTATATTGCCTATTTTGTGTAAAGGATCTGCTGTCTTTATAATTCAAGATTACTCAAGACCAGTGTTGAGTACCTCCTCATCAGTGTATGTGTAGATTTAATATACTGTCATACTATCTTCAACTCTTCATACATCCAAACTCTTCATATAACATGCTCAGCGATTCTTCCTCTGCCTTGCCAAATTTCACCACACAGGGACAGCATGTCCTAAATCCAATTAAAGCTAATCCCTCCCAGTACACTGGTGTCCTGCCAGTGAAAGGCTCCGAGCTGGCCCTGTCAATAGCCTCTTCACCAGTCATGCAATGCTGGACGTTAAGATGGCCAAATCCTTTTCTGACAACCACAAAGACAACATGCAGCGTGGAGTGCAGCCAGAATGGTCAGGTCCTCTACACTCAGTCAATTACACCTGTTTAGAGGTTTGCTCATGTTCTCTTCCAGTTTTCTAACTGAAAATGAATCCTTCGGTCTTCTCTACTCTGTCAAGTACACTAGCATGTATGGCAATTCATTTTCATCATTTAAATATCCTCTCTTATTTCCCATTTTTTTTACTGTTCTGAAAAAATCAATAGTTTGCTAAAGCTAATCCTCCTAATCTGTCACCATAGAAGACTGTCACCAGTCACTGCCATGCCAGCTTCATTGTCTTGCTTCCTGCACTGTTTTATATATTGGAAAATTCTGTTCATATATTAAGACTAATAAAGCAAAACTTAATCACTTGGCCTTTCTCGCCCTTCCATTTTTTCTAAACCCCTACAGGCTAATTTAACCTGGAAAAGGTTATATGCAGTTATCAATCCAGTGCTTGCAATTTGGCTACCTCTCCTTGGAGGCTAATCACTCTATGCTGGGACTCAGTGCTGCACCTATGTGTTTAAATACCTTGTGCTGATAGTGACACCAAACACCAATGCACTGCCAAAAGTGGTAGCCACTATATATTTCTATACTTTATCAAATGATCCAACTCTATGCCTTTCAATTCATTCAATACTTCAAAACATACTCCTCTTGTTGACAGTCATAATATCTTTTTACCACCCTCCCTGGGATCATGGATTGCTTACTGATTGGATAAAATAAGTCATGTGATGAGGCACAGACCACAGGGATATCATCTGACACCCCATGGAAATGACCATCTCAAAACTGAGGTGTTTGTCCAGCTATACTCATATTATTTACAGTGTCCTTTTGAATAAGTGCATTGTTTGCTTTTCTTGTGAATGCCTAAGACCACTACAATATATCAAATTTCCTCTTTTTCTAAGTCAGTTGAAAAAAGTGTGCCCGGATATACAAATAGTCTTTTAAAATGGACATAAGTTTAAGTTTAAGTAAAGACGTCCAAATGAAAAATTGCACACACTTTTAGTACAAAAAATGATAATAATGGATCAGCTTGGATTTGACCAATGAATCACAGGAAAAATTGGTTTACTTCTAAACTGACATTTAGTTCAGAGGGAAAGACTAATCAAATTTTACTCCAAACCAAATTACACCTGTACAATTCCAAATCTCTTGAAGACATACGCCAATACCAAGCTTTCTTTACTCCTACTGTTCTGTACAAAGCATAAGTGGATGACCACAATCAGCTCACAAACCAATACTTACAGAATGCTACCTTTCAACATGGAATGTGTGATAATCAGAAGAAATTACAAAATCACAAAGGCTTCTTCTGCCACAAGGGCACACAGAATCGCATGCTTTATAAGACACATTAACATTTACACAAAACACTTCCGTTTCCTTCACAAGAGTCTATAAACCAGGCTGTGCTTGAACCAATAAATATTATCCTTATGGTATGTCATACATCTGTTGCTTAGGATTTTCTTAAAAGGAATCCTTATTTCCAAAGGAAACAAGAATGGGGAGGGGAGAGGGGCAACATTGTCATCAATAAAGCAATTTTTACTTTATTCAGAGTTTGTCACCTTTCTTATTAAACCAGATATCTTGTTCTCTTACACATAAAAATCTAACACCCCATTTCCATAGATTTTTAGATCGATCTATCCCTGTGGGGAGTCTCACTAGATTACTGTCAGCTTGGCCGGCTTAAGCGTCTGTCCCACCTACTAAAAGCTTTAAGGGGGTAATTAACTATGGTGCCTGCTCGGCTGACTGCAATTTAGCGTGAACCCCCAGGGAGTTAGGTCGATCTAAAACTTAATCTTTAGATCGATCTAAATCTCTGGGAAAGCACCCTAAGTTTTAAATTGAATTTTTATTATGATTATGATAGCATTTTTATTATGATAATTATTTTTACAGCTGTTAGTTATTGATAGGCACACTGACATTAAATTGCAAAAAAGTTCATCTTTTTCTTGAAACCCTATTTTATGAATTCTGTTGACACTTTCCTTAGCTGGTTTGTTACTTTACTGTGCATATTGAAATGATAACTGGCCATAACCAAGATTTAAGATTAGATATACAGTAATCCCATAAAAACACTAATCCAATGCTCATTTTGTGTATTCTGAATAAATGCTGTGATTGCAGTGGCTTGTGAAAAATATCAAATCTTTTAATTTGCATAGATTTTTAGTAATTTTTGTCATAACTGATCCTCATATTTTTCTGGTGTTGATCTACTTTTATATAACAACCAACCTTTATTTTGAGAGTAGAAAGAATTCCCAACCCTCCATGATCATATTGTGACAAGAAATTTTGCACCATTTTCGTTAAAAATGTCATAAAAAGTTATGTCATAAATTGAAATTCCCTCCATCACTGATCTTTAGTCCCATGAATTACATAGAAGAATCCCACTCCCTAACCATATGATACCAGCCTGCAATATGCTACAACACTGTCACAGCACGCCTACAGCTTAAAATTGGATAAAACTGATACAGATCATGCAATCCAAACACATGAAATACCACCCTTTATCAGGATCCTAGACACAGAATTAACCTTAACAATTATCAATTATCAAAATCATTTAATTACTGTATTTATGAATTGTGATTTCTCTTTTACTTATATTATTAGACTGACTTTATCAAACTTATCTACAAATCTTTTCTTTTTATTTCAATGGTAATAAAACCTGACAAACCAGAATACCTTTTCCTGTAGACAATCACTGTGCATCTGTACAGCCTTTTGTTTCAGGGTCTAATTTCATGAAATTTTAACATGAATTCGTGCTATTGTACCTGAAAATGTAAAATCTCATCAAAATCCAAGCTATCAAATTGCCCACTGCAGTATCCTTCTGGGACCCCAGCAATCTCATCTTGTTCATAAAGAAATTCAGTGTCATCTTCATTGTCATCCCTCACTGTTATAAGCCTGGTGCCTTTGTATTCTTGCACTACTCTGTTGTAGCGTTTGCGAAAGGACATCTCTAACTATGGGTAAAACAACAACTTCATATCAATAAAAGATAAGGAAAAAATCAAGGTAATATATAGTACCCACCATCAGGTCCAAAGATCAATTCTACAGATAATATTATTTAATATAAAACAACCTGTAAAATTCCCAACAGTTTGATTTGACTAGCAACTATGAAATATTGGTTTTCGTGTCCAATATCCAATCTTCTAGTCAATTGCCTCATACTGATTACATGTCATAGACTATGAATGGACAGAATGGATTATTCCAATGCAATGGTTACTAAAGGACACTATGCTGTCAAATTATTTTGCTTAAATTCAACAGGAGACTTGATATACTGACACCCATGCTAAATACGATGTTGAGCCAAACCTTGTCTTGATGTCTTCTTAAACTTCTTGGTCTCTCAGGGCTACTGGGTCTGTCAGTGCTACTACTTCCCATGGGCTG